TGCTACTACGGTGCGTCCTGGCACACCTAGCAAAGTGTGCCAATGAAATTTAAAATGAACATGTTATATAATAAAATGAACATGTATAAACATATTTATACATATTCATTTTAAACATATTCATTTTAAAAATGTCTTGACACATATTGCTAGATGAGCACACCTAAATATTTAGGGAGTGGGAGTGTTCTGAAAAATAGAGAGGGATGTTGACAGGTTTTATATTTTTATTAGTATAAATTTTTTTGTTTTGAAATTTGGAGTTTGTTCTTATCTTATAGGATAGGGTGTCAAAAGGTTATTTGAATTTTGATGAGATGATTGGGCCATTTGATTTCAACTAATCCTCCTCAAGTTGGAATATTCTTGGCAGCTCAGCAAAATTGAGCCAAAATTTTCAAGTAGTTGCAATATTAGATAAGCAGCTCTTTAATGTTTTTGGTATTAAGGAAAAATTGTTTTGTGCCTAAATTTATTTTTTTAATATAATATTTAGAAAATTTTCCTAACCATTTTCAAGTGAATTGAAAAATTAATTTTAAGTTGTACATGTGGAAAAGAATAAGTTGTACATTTGGTGCCGGTTTGAGGGTGACAACTCAGACGAAGACGAGGCCCATTCGGATTCGAGGGCGAATCCTCCTCAACCCGGGGAGGATGATGGAGACGAGGCCGCGTTGGCCTTTATGCAAAAATGATTATTTATTTTCCCGGTCTTTATTAGTTGTCAGTTTATTAAGTTATTATAGTTTTCATTTATGTTATTTTTATTTAGTGGAGCAGTTAATTAAATAATTAGAAAGTTGATGAGTAGTGGGCTCTTCTTATATGTACCCACTCCCTGAACAGTTATTTTTTGATCATCGTATTATTATTCTGAGAAAAGAAATCTGCTCTTGTGTTCTTAATTCCCTTTCGAATACATCCTCTACATCAGTTATCTTCCCACGTTAAATTTCATTCCATATGAAGATTGCAGCCATAGAAATCCTAGTTATGGTCCAACTAAATTGTTTCTTTTGTTTTTTTTTTTTTTTTCCTTATTAAGCAGAAAAAAGGAAGACAATGTGCAAATCTCTAAGCAATATGTTAAGATCAAGTTAAACTGAATTATTTTTAATGGACTCTGTTGGGAAGCAATTTATATGGATAAGCAGCCACCAAATAAGAACTTCTCATTTCATTTCTTCTATATGATGTTTTATACTTTATTTTATATTTTTTTTTTTATTGTAGATCACAAAAATATAATTTAAAAATAAAATCACCCAACACTACAAAAAAACTCTTACATTCCAACGAAAATTTTCCGTTGGAATTCTTTATATTTTTCGTTGGAATAGTTATTCCAACGGATATTCCTACGTATAGAAATTCGTAGGAAAAACGGCCGTTTAATAGCTAAAATCCAACGAAAATCCTATGGAAATAAATTCTTACGACTATTCCAACGAAAAAAATCCGTTGAAATTCCTCAACCATCCAACACTTATTCCAGCATAAAATTAAGTTTGTTGAAATATTCATTGGAGTTTTCAACAGAAATTTTTGCCGTTGGAATTGAAGTGTTTTCTTGAAGTGCAAATCATAAATTAAAAAATTATTATATAAAGAAAAATAGCCGTTAAATTAGGCCGTTTGGAGTGAGTAATGACAGCCCTGAATGTGACCAAGCCCAACGGCTAGGATAAACCCACTTTCAGTTAAAATGGAAAAAGTGGGCCTAACACTGTCCAAATCATATTTTGTCATATTTTGTGTTGTGGGCCAAACCATACCCATTCCAATGCTTTTTTTTTTTTTTTT